CATTGCATAATACTAATATTAGGGTTAATAAGAAGAACTGACAGGTGAATTATGAACCTAGAACTCGTAAGATAAACACAATTGACCTAAACTAGACATAGCTTTAGGTATTTGTGGTGATAATTGATTGTTACTTAATAGGTTCAATTAATGTTGGTGAGATATCGACAGATGATCACAGTTAATTGGATACAACCTAGTAGCTCGACGGAGTATTAGAATATAATTGGAGCAATCATCACTATAATTACAAGAATTAATATTTAGGAGAGTTTGCTAATTATCTAATAGGTGAACCCAAATCCCTAGTCTTCTCTTAATTGGAATTTTCTTTTCATTAAATTCATAAATATTCTTTTTAATCAAATTAATTCTATTTATTTGAGATTTCCCTTATCAACAATTTGATTATTAAAGATAACAGTTAATAGTGTTCTTCGTGGGATCGACCCTGGAATACTCCAGGAATTTATACTGTGATTGACTATGTGCGCTTGCAGATTATAGCAATCACCATAGTCGTAGACATTGGAAGAAGAGTTGTTGCTGGGGAGAACAATTTGGCAGTAAGATGGGTAGGGAGTGGACTTGCAAATGGTGGATGCGGAGACATTTCTCGACGGTGGCGGAGCATCTACGGCAGCGAAAATAACAACCGGGCAGAGAAAGGGGAAAAATTAGCTTATTATATTCAAGGCTATGTGAAATTTTAATTATACCCCTGATTTAAACGGAGTTTAACTGATGGTCTCACAGAAGGACCAAATCTGCTTAATGGTCAAATAATTGAGGGACCAATTGTGTTTAAATTGGGAACTAAGGATGACATTGCAGATTGGGCACTAATTGAGAGACCAAAAGTGCGATTTCTCCTACTTATTATAAACAATGCTATGTGAAATTCCACTTTTACCCATGTTTTAAACGGCATTAAACGGCCATATAGACAGAAGGACCAAATCTGCTTAATGGTTGAATAATTGAGGGACCAAAAGTGCGATTACCCCTATATATATATATATATATATATATATATATATATATATATATATATATATATATATATATATATATATATATATATATATATATATATATATATATATATATATATATATATATATATATATATATATAGATTTTGAATCCAGTGCACCCCCTAATTAGGTGAGATAATGAGCACTAATCTCTACCGTTTATTTAGATTTTATTAACGTTACAGATTGGCCTATTGTATTTTAGATCCGTGTGCTTTTGAATGGGGAAGGGGCTCTATTGTCTTTTGTGCGTTATTTTATTTTTGTTAATTATTTAGATTTGCGGATTTTTTGGTATATATTTATTGTTATTAGGTATCTTTCGCCAGTTTACCATTCTCATCGTTTTGTTTTACACTTCGCTGTTTTGATCGCCGAGAGAACTCTTCTGCTACCCGTTTGGTCTCACCGTCTATTCAGTCGCTTTGGATTGTCCGTCCGATAGCAGGGTTTACGACGGTCTCTCTTTGTGTTTCTCATGGTGGGTTCAAGCTCTAGGGCATCTAAACGATTGAGAGGGAAATCTTAAAGTTCTACACCAGGTATCCACTCGATCAATTGTTGTTCTTTTTTTGGTGTTTTATTTGTTTTAAGAATTGTAGGTTTCCGTGTCTGCATGTGTGGTTGTGGTATGTTTTCTCCGCCGGCGGGTGTGTTTTCGGGGGGAGTTGGTATGTGGATTGTGTGTTCGGCGGGGGGGGGGGGGGGGGGGGGGGTAGGGTTGGGATTGTCGGCGGTTTAGTGGCTTTTGCAGGGGTTTTTTTTTGTTTTTTTTTTTTTTTTGTTTTTTGTTTTTTGTTTTTTGTTTTTTTTTTTTTTTAAATTTTCGTAGTCTGTTTCAGTGTTTGTGCTCGGTTTCGGATTGCCTCTTTTGGGGATATTGCATGTGTGTTTTTGGGGTGTGTTGTCTTCGGCGGAGTTGGTTTTTTGCTGGGTGGTTTTCATCGGTGAGTTCGGCCGGGGGTGGCTTTAGGGTTGTCGTGCTGGGCTATTTGTTAGCTGTTTTATTTAAATATATATTAGGGCGTAATAATATATATAATTTAATATTTAATATAATAATAATAATAATAATGTAATAGAAGTGAAATTAAATTAGGAAGTAATGATTTTTTTTAAAGCAACCATAAAGGCGTATATTAATGAAGCAAATAAGCAATAGATTCAGGAGGGACAGAGTCCCAAAACATCGAACTAGCCTGTGAGAAGGCGGTTGAAGCTAAAGAACGAGCAAGTAAATTCGCTGATCTAGGCACTAAATAAATGGAACAATAAGTAAAAGTGGCCATAATGGTACTATACTGGTCCACGGCTAGCCCAACATAGGATAAGATTGAGGTCTAACGAGAGGCCAAGCTAGTCTGAAGCTCCGAACAGTCGGTGAATAAGCAAACTGATAAGATTGCGGAAGTAATGATTTAATATAAAACTTTACCAATAAATGTGAATACAATAAATGCGTTCATATTGCTAGTCTCATTTGACCAATTATTATTATTTTTATTATTATTACTATTATTATTATTATTATTATTATTATTAAATAATAAATAATTATTAGATAAAGTTTAGTATTGTCAGACTTATGGAGAGGGTTTAATAAGAATAATTAGTATTATTAAGGTAAGTATTTATTTTATTATTATTATTATTATTATTATTATTATTATTATTATTATTGCTAAGTAATTAGTATTAATAAATAATTATTAGACAAAGTTTAGGATTGTCAGGATTATGGAGAGGGTTTAATAAGAATAATTTGTATTATTAAGGTAAGTAATTATTTTGTTTATTATTTTTATTATTGGTAAGTAATTATTATTATTATTAAATAATTATAAGACAAAGTTTAGGATTGTCAGAAATATGGCGTACTTATTTTGTGTATTATTATTATTATTATTGGTAAGTATTATATAGTAGTATGTAAAATAAAGTAAATAAGGTAATAGCATTACTATTATTATTATTAAATAATAAATAATTATTAGACAAGGTTTAGGATTGTCAGAATTATGGAGAGAGTTTAATAAGAATAATTAGTATTATTAAGGTAAGTACTTATTTTGTTTATTATTATAAGTTTAGGATTGTCAGAATTATGGAGTACTTATTTTGTGTATTATTATTTTTATTAGTAAGTATTATATAGTAGTGAGGAAAATAATGTAAATAAGGTAATAGCATTATTATTATTATTATTATTATTATTATTTTGCTTATATATATATATATATATATATATATATATATATATATATATATATATATATATATATATATAGAGAGAGAGAGAGAGAGAGAGAGAGAGAGAGATGTGTCAATGTTATCCGAAAGTTAAGGATTTGGATAATTTGATTGCATTAAACATGTGGGCTTCCACTTTGACTCCTTAAATGGTGAAATTAATTCTTGGGCCAATGAAATATATCAATCATTAATATGTGGATCATAGTTCAAATAATTGTGTGGAACATAAATAAAAAGTACATTATTTGAAAATATATTGTTTGAGTACTGAAAGTATATTATTTTGTATACTATTAAATAATGTACATTGAATACACGAATAATGTACTTTTAGTATATTAAAAATGTACCTTGTATTTAGAGAAAATAAATTATTTGAGTATTGAAAGTACATTATTTTGTATAATATACATTCAGTACACAAATAATGTACTTTTAATATATTAAAAACGGAGTTTTTTATGGTCCACGAATGAGAAACTATGTGATGTCTTCAATCATTGTAGGTGCTTAAAAACTTTCTAACAATCTCTTTCTTTAGTAAGATAATTAAGAACAATTTTACATGAGTGTTATGTGCATGTGATGGATAGTGAATTGTTTTTCCTTCTTGAAAAAGAAATTGTAGCTATTTTCCAACTTTAATATCAATGTTGAAAATGTGAAATTTTGTTTCCATATTTTCAATTTGGAGAATATTTCAATTTGAACACATAAAAACTCTATAAGTGTGTTTAATTGGAGGAATTCTTCATTTCTCTGTATTCAACATCTCTTGTTGAGAAAGTGTCCTATGAGCCCGCATGGGTAGCTCAACTGGTCATAGAGGTGAAACTTTGGAAGAATGACCAGGGATCTCGTCTCATCAGTGGCAGTGTGGGAGCCACTTCTCAAAGTGAGGGAGGTTCCTTGTGCGCAGTGAGTACCGGTCTAGTCTCTGTGCTTCATGGTCAGTTGAGTCAATATGATTTACATCCTCTTAGGGTTGAGGTCTTCTCAACCTTTTGGAAGAGAAAGTATCCTATGAATGTTTTGACTTCTTCAAACGACATTATTCTGTTCATCATTATATGAATTGTTATGTCTCTTCTGAAAGTATAACATTTTGATCTTAACATTTTAGCTTCTTATGATATAGTTTGTTTCTTCTAGTTTTCTAACTCTTATGGTAGATTGTTCTTTTGCTTGCTTGGATTTTCTACCAAAGAGTCTTTTCTGGTTGATTAAGTCTTATGCTTAAATTAGACTTTTCTTCTAGAAGATTTTCTCTTCTGTTGTGACGTTTTATTATGATTATGCTCTCTTTTGTTTGATCAAATGTTCTACTAGAGAGCCTCTTTTGTTTGAAGTATCTTAGCTTCTAATTGATGAAGTATTTTGCTAAGGCTTCATTTCTGAATGTCTGTATACATTACTGTAAAAAAAAAAAAATGAACAAAATTTAAAAATCAAACCTTTGCATATTGTAATAATTTTAATCAAAATTTTTAAATTTTAATGATGTTCACCAATATAATTTTACTCTTCAACCTAAAATATCTATCCAAACTCTCAACATATTGACATGTCATTTCAGGAAGTTTTCTTAATATTTATTATTATATGAACCAAATAATACTTATCTTTGCATCTAAAAAAAAAAACAAAATAGTAATCTGATTAACTTGTAATCTTATGATTACCAACCGAAAGGTCTTTTATGATAGTTTAAGAAGATGAATCCATTGGCTGCCAATAAGAAGGTGATCAAGAGAAGGTCTCCTACTCCCAAGAAGGTTCAGGTAAACATACATACATGCCATTGTTGTTTAATTTTGAAGTTTAATTTGATGCATAAAATAAGACTGAATACCCCTGCTTGCACTACACTTCCTCTTACTACCTTAGCTTACTACTGTGGAATGATGGGATTTAAGGTTAAATTGGTTAATTTCAGTTTCTTGGCACTATTTGAGCAGGCTAAAGGTGAAGGTTCTAGGAGGGAGTATGGGTGTGTTGATGAAAACTCCATAGCTATGAGGAGAGGTCGAGAACTTCAAGCAAATCTTTCACCTCAATTTCCTAGTGTAGTCAAGTTCTTGCTCCATTCTCATACTACTAGTGGATTTTGGTTGGTAAGTCCTGCCCACATAATCATATCTCTTTGGTGTTAATTAGGTTAAATCAAGTAATCTAAGCATGCTTACCACTGTGCCTTCATTCTCAAATATATTATCTTCTAATAGGGTCTGCCAAAAGATTTCTGCACTTCTCATCTGCCAAACCATGATACTGCCATTATTTTGGTGGATGAAAATGGAAGAGAAACAGAGAGCAAGTACCTTATTGAGAAGCATGGCCTGAGTGGTGGATGGAGAGGATTTTCCCTCCAACACAACTTGGTTCCCGGGGATGTTGTAGTTTTTCAGCTAATCCTAGCCCCATCCACCCCCCATAGCTTTTCTTCTGCCTAGCTTCAAGGAATTAGCCTCATTTTTACTCCTTTTCCCTGTTTTAGGTGTACATTGTTCGGGCAAATGACTCGGCAAATATTGCTGGTGCTATCAGCCTTCTGGATTTAAGTCATTATGCACAGCCAATTGCAACTGGTATGCTTTCCTTAACTTGTTTCTTTTGCATTAATTGAATAAAGTCTACAAAAAACTTAATTGATGTCCTCTCAGTTGTGTTGCATTGCCTCATCAACATTAGACCTGCATTTGAGTGTTACTGACTCAATCTATTACAATATAATATCTGTTCATATCTACTTTCGCAACCTATTGAAGTACAAAGAGTCAATACCGTCCCTACTAGGGCTCGAACCCAAATGACCTCCCATTTGGGACAGTCACTTCAGGTCATTGGCTGGTATATTGGTATTATTCTAAAGAATATATTGTATATCTTATGTCTCACCAATATAGGTTGACTAACAATTTCTAATTATTCGTCCATCCAAACTATGCCAACTTGCACAAACCAACATATATAATATTCATTAGGACTGAACTATATATGAATAACTTTTTCTGTTATTCCAGAGGGTTTACTGCTGGAAGGTGATGATATTGAGGAAAATGTGCTGAGAATTGAAGACGCTGCAGATCAGTTAACCAGAATACAACATGAAAGTGACAATCTGGAGAGAGAAGTCTCTACATAGACAACTTATTATCTGGCAGTGATAGAGATAACAGCCCCCTGCAGCCTATGAATGTGGTTGAGTTTTCACAAGTGAAAAACTTTGAGGATTTCAACGTTGTTGTCAACAACCTAAACATAGATTCTAAGATCTCCCAAGACACCAGGCTCAAGTACTACGAGCTGTGCCGCAGTTGAAACGCGTATCTTCATGAGCTTGAAGAGCCTGGGTTGAACTACACGCTAATCGCCGGGGCAATAACAGAAACTGTGAAAATCGCCGATGGCATCAAAGCTGCTACGCTCGCAACGGGCCGTGATGTTTTGGAAGTATGGGACAGAACTCTGATAGGGGTGGGGCATTTCGGCATGGAAGTGGGGTTCTTGCGCGGCAGGATAAGTGAGCTGATTAGGCTGTGCGAGGCGGCCGAAATTGTTTCCGGAAAGGAGAAAGAAAAAGCCATAGCTGAAGCGGAGATGAAAGATCTCCTGCACAAGGTGTCGAAGGTGAGTGGTGTGATTAAAAATTTGGAAGAGGAGATCCAGGCACACAGCGGCGGGGAGAGGGTAGAGGAGGTTTTCAAGAATGTTGCGAGTGCTGATTGGTGAAAACCCTTCTTCTGTAGTCCTGCTTGAATGTATGGCTATTGTATGTAAATTCATTAGTGGCTAATATGTGTACTGAATTTTATTTGCTGTAGTATGCTAAAGAAATCAAGGCAAATTCATTCTGAATTTTAAATACACAAGTTTTTCTTTCCTATTCTAGAATTTACTTTATATATATAGAATCTTGATCATGTGCAGCGGACTCCACCCATGCGACGGTCGTGCAGCAGTCTCATGATGCATCCGTCCCTCCGATTTTCATCGGTGGCTCTCTATCGCTCCGATTTTCCATCGTTGGGTCTCTGTTGTGTTGATCTTCCATCGAAGACTCATTCTTGCTTACCTTTGATCATCCATCATCGACTCTCCAGTGCTTCAATTTTCTAGTCTCCTTTGTTTCAAATTTCCATTGTTGATTCTCTACTACTTCGATCTTTCATCACAAATTCTCTGCTTCTTCGATCTTCCACCGCCGGTTCTCTATTGCTTTGATCTTCCATTTCAACTCTTCGTTGCTTTGATCCACCATCGCAAACTCTCCGCTGCTTCAATTTTTCATCGCGGGCTCTCTACTACTTTTGCATTTCAATCCCACTTCTACTACCTATTTGAGCCTTTTACCCCTACACCGAGGTAATTTAAATCTTTTTGTAGTTTGTGTGTTTGTAATAATATAGAGAATAAATATATTGAAACTGTAGAATGAGTTAAAAATAATTCAAATACGCCTCTCAATTAATTAGTCCATTTTTGTTCTTTATTACCCTAATTGCTCTATATCATTTCTCAAATCTCATTTCTCTTGATCACTCGGTCCTTATTATATTTTGTTATTATGAATTTAAATTTTTAAAAATAGAAAAAGTAGAAAAAATATTAAATTGTACAATATAATAATATAGTTAGACTTTTATATATTTGGTGAAGTATTTATTTTCATAGCATACAAAATTAAAATTAAAATTTTGTATGGTTAATATAATATCTAATCATATACATATTTAGATAAATTTATAGATAAAATTCACATAATTAAATTGATTTATTCCTAATTGTATTTCATATATATTATAATTCTAGGAATATGAATAATAACTAACTGGGCGTTTGGTTGGAGGGGGGGGGGGGGGGGGGGAATTATGTGGGAAAGGAATTATAATTCCATGGGAGTTGAATTACTCGGAATAAAGTGGGAATTTAAATTCCAGTGTTTGGTTGACAGGAATAGAATTACTGGGAATTTCAATTCCAATGTTTGGTATACATGGAAATTGAAAGGGAATAAGTAGTATAAAGTCAAAAATGTCCATTATTGTTGTTAGACATTAATTTTAGGTTAAAAAGGGAAGGGTAATTTTGACTCATCACTATCTTTTTTTCCCAGGAATTAAAATACCAGGGGGGGACATGGGATTTTAATTCCATGAAAATGAGGGAATTGCAATTCCCTCCAACCAAACTACGGAATTTAATGGCCTTTGGAATTAGATGGGAATTAAGTGGGAAGGGAATTTAAAATCCCTCCAATGACCAAACGCCCTGTAAGAGAATTATACTTTGAAATTAATAAATCGGACTCATTTCCTTATATGATTGTATAATACATTGTATATAAACATAATATTTATTTATTAATATGTATATAGGAAAATCTATAATATAATTTTCTTAATTATAATTTATATTGATAGATTTATAATTAAAAAATTTACATTTAAAAATTAAAAAATTTAGCATTTATATTTTGTATGATCAATATAGTGAATAAGTATGTATGTATGTATTTAAAAATATTTCTAAATATTTATGAACACATATTTGTTAATTTTATAATTTCATTTTCTTAATTATATTTCATATTTTATTAATTATAACTTAATGAAATTGCCACAAATATTACCATGGAAGAAATATTATATTTTGCAATTTCATTAATTATATTAATTATAATTACCAAACATTGTGACAATTACCATAATAATTTTATTAATTATATTAATTATAATATTTGTTCTCTTCCAATATTAAAATATATTACCATAAATTCCTTAATAATTAATGAAATTGTCACAATTTCGAAAACCCTTCTTCTGTGGTGTTGCTTGAATGAATGGCTGTTGTATGTAATTCATTAGTGGCTAATTTGTTGGGAATTTTAAAGACACAAGTTTTTCTTTCCTGTTCTAGAATTTCTTTTATATATTTAGATATAGAATCTTGATCAAGTCTAACGGACTCATCCCGTGCTACGATTGTGTGCTGTCTCATGATGCGCCCCTCCCGTGCGACGGTCGTGTAGCAGTCTCATGATGCACCTCTCGCGTGCGATGGTCGTGCGGGCGTCGGGCGTCTCATGATGCATCTGTCGCTCTGATTTTCATCGGTGGCTCTCTCTCTATCCGATTTTCCATGGTTGGGTCTCTGTTGTGTTGATCTTCCATCGAAGACTCATTCTTGCTTACCTTTGATCATCCATCGTCGACTCTCCAGTGCTTCAATTTTCTACTCTCCTTTTCTTCAAATTTCCATTGTTGATTCTCTACTGCTTTGATGTTTCATCACAAATTCTCTCCTTCTTCAATCTTCCACCACCGGTTCTCTAATGCTTTGATCTTCCATTTCAACTCTTCGTTGCTTTGATCCACCATTCTTCTGTCAAATCAGTTCATTTGAGGTTCTGCAAGTTCCAGCTTATTTGAATTCTGTTAACCAATGCAATGTTCTTGCCTTCTTGGCACTATTTGAGCAGGCTAAAGGTGAAGGTTCAAGGGTGTCAAAAATTTGTTGATTTGGTTTCTTTGGCATGAATTGAAGGGTATAAATAAGTCTAGGCGGTTATTTTTAGATCACTTTTAATTTTTAGCTCTCTCTAACTTTGATGAAGAAATGAACTTTCATTTTGGTTTCAAATTCAAGATTGTGTTTTCCATTGTTATTGAGCTCTTTTGTTATGGATGCTATGTCATTTGAATTGCAATATAATGTTAAATAGTGTAATGACTCAATGATGGTTCTAGTTGTGAGCTTGGTGATTTATATGGACTCTTGCATAATTTGGCCCAATTATGCAAGATGTACATGGATAAGGTGTTGTCACTATGAGAATGGAACAACATCATAGACACACCTCTCACTAGTCCAACTTTGCTTTTAGAAAAGAGAGTTGGAAGCAAATGTGAACACATCGTATTCAATGAATTGCTTCAATTAGTTTGAGTCACCATGGGAATGAAGCTTAAAGCTAATTGAGAGGGGCATTGACACTTATTAGTGTCTCTCTAGTTCCCTTGCTGAGACATTGCATGGTCTCTATCTTAGGAAACTCTATAACATTTATACAAAAGTGGACAAGTCTAAGTCCCTCCATTTACAATTGTTTGTTTCGTTGTTCATTTCCTTGTGTTTACTATTCTTACATGATGCTTATCTCTTCATTTATTAGTTTGATAAAAAAATTACTCCGTATAAAATAAGTCCAATTAGCTTAAAACTTATTGTCCAATGGCCTGGATAGGCTAGCTAAAAATTAAGCTCGATAGCATGAGATGCTAAAGACTACTCTTAGTTTCACAAGTGATGTGAAACAAAATATACACCGTGAATTTTAATGTAAATTCATTTTTAGTACGTTTTTATTAAATTTTAATAAATATATTATAAATTTTATTACAAAATAAATTATTTTTTTATTAAAAGTAAGTAACAAAAAATAAAAATCAATATAATTATTTTATTATAATTCTAAATATATTAAATCTTTTTAGTTGCAATTTATTGGATTGGTTAATCCCTTGGTTCTTACTTCCTCAAGATTCTTGCTTTCGTTTCTGTTTCCTTTATTGCTTTCAAGCTTCAAATTAGCTTCTATATTGAGCTGGGTATTTTAATTTTACTGTGCTATCAGCCTTTAGGATTTAAGTCATTATGCACAGCCAATTGCAACTAGTATATATGTTTTCCTTGTTAGTTTCTTTTAATTTGCTACATTTAATTTAGTAATATTCATTAGAACTGAACCATGCATAAATTTTAAATTTCTGTTATTCCAGAGGGTTTACTACATGAAGAAGGTGATGATATTGAGGAAAATGTGTTGAAAATTGAAGATGCTGCAGATCAGTTACGTTAACCAGAATATAGCATGAAGGTGACAATCTGGAGAGAGAAATCTCTACTCTCTACATCAGACCACTTGTTATCTGGCAGTGATAGAGATAACAGCCCCCAGCCTATGAATGTGGTTGAGTTTTCACAAGTGAAAAACTTGGAGGATTTCAACGTTGTTGTCAACAACCTAAACATAGATTCTGAGATCTCCGAAGACCAGGGCCGTTCCAATAAAAATTGGGGTCCTGTGCAATATCTTAATTTGGACCCCTTTTATCAAGTAATTTCTGTATATAAATAACAGTTGTTTAAAAAGTTGTGTCAAAATTTCAGATCATAAATATTGTATAAAAAATACATCTAAAGTTTCATTTAAAAAGTGGCAAATATCTTGTGTAAAATGCATATGAAAATCTTCTAAAGAATTTATCTTTAGAATCTTTATTTATTGATAAATCTCTTTTAGTACCATCTTTCACAAGAATATCTATTAATTTAGAATCAATGGCATCCCAATTTCTTGGGTAATATATATCAAATAAAAGCGAATCATTTGGTTTATCACTGTGACTAACATCATCTAAACAACTATCAACATTCTTATTATTTTCATTGTCACAGTGATACATATCATCGTTGTGCACAATATCATTTAATTTTTTTCCAATCTCACAATCATCTTGATCTTTTATATGAAGATTAACATCTAACAGTTTTTTTTTTGGCATCATCTTTTTGCTGATCTATTTGAGTTTTTTTTTTTTTTTTTTTTTTTTTTTTTTTTTTTTTTTTTTTTTTTTTTTTTGTAATGAATTTTCAAGAGTTCCCTTTTGAGATTGAGTTAGTTGCACAATTCTTTTTTTCTTTTTATGCTTCTCAAACCCACATAAATA